ATGCCAAAAATTATAGGGTTAACAATGTGGTTAAAAATATACATCCGGCGCAAAATCAGGAAAATTTGCAGTGCAGAGTATGATTGGTTAATCCAAAAGTATCGTGATCGCGATTCTATTGCTGAGACGATCACAGTTGGTATGTACGATATCGCAAAAAAGAATGATATCGATATAAAAATATAAGAATATCGATTTGTGGAAAAATGGTTCTTCACAGCTTGATAGCTAGCTTTCCGTCCTCGTTTCGTGAGCTGTTTTGATGGACTATCGATACGAGAGTCTCGCTTACAGATCGAATCCCGATATTTTGCGCCATCGTCTTTATCGATAATCATAGAAGATCGTGATGCTTCTCTTTAACCAAATCGACCAGGACAAATTGGGAATTCCTTGCTTCTAGTCCATTGAAACTTGTTTGGCCTTGTGATGAACTGTTTAACAGATCCTCGCTGGAAAAGTCCCCCGTGTTGGCATCTGCCATTTCTCGTAGCTGTTTTCGACGGCTTTCGCGTTCTTTGAATGTGGCACTTCTTTTCTTCATGGATTTCAAAATAAAAGTATACAAAACTGTCATAGTGATCAGTATGCCAATCGTCGCCAAAAATAAGACACCACTATAAATCGAAAACATGACACTGTGAAGAGGTGTTGGTTTTACAATGCTACACTCGAATCCCGTCACATTTCTTTCTGCATTATATACTTCGCTGACGTCGTAAAATGCCGATATAGGAGCAGACAGGCCCGCTCCGACGGCGAGGCTGACCGCCAACATGATTTTTCTGTGCCGTGCCGTGATTTGTCTTCTTGTCGGCCGACACACCAGTTTGTATCGCTGGATTGAGATGTACAACAGAACAATCCCTGAAGTCACTCCGCCTGTCTGTAGAAGAAAAGAAAACACCTTGCACACCGCTCCATCTTTTGGGAGAACAAAATAAAAATTGAGGAACAGAGAATAAGCTACTCCTGCAATCACTGCACCTAGGTCCAGCTCAGCAAGAAACAAAATAAAGTAGCGGTTGTCCGTCTGCATGTGCGAGCGAGCTTTGTAAACAAGAATAACAAGTAGATTTCCTAACACTCCGATGATCAAGTAGAAGCACAGGATGACCGTGTTCAGTAAACGCTCGGAGGCTATCTGGCTATTCCAGTCCTCAAGGCTTCCAACCTTAGAACCATTGTAGGTCACAATTGTTGTCAACTCACTTTCATTCATGATTGTATGCGATGTCAGAGACGAATGAAATGAAACTGAGTTTTAAACCATATCTGATTATTTTTTTCCTTCGTCGGAATGCGTGGCAAACATTCCGGTATGCGCGGGGTCCTACTAATGTAGTATTGTTTACAACAAGTGGCCTTTTCCTGGAAATGACACAATATACATCTCACAAGTTAAGCTTATTTAGGCGAAAGTTTTATATATCACACGACATACTCTACTTCAAATGATTTTAAAGAAAGAAAAACCCAAGCATTATGACATATATTTTGGGTTGTCCGAAAAAATCATAGACATGTGGGGAAAACAGTTTAGTTTTTCTTTGCTTTATCAAATGTCTTTTCTTGTCATAGCAAAAAGTAACATTTCATGATCATGCACTTCAAGTTTCATGATGATATCACACGACATATTCTACTTCAAAAGACTTTTAAGAAAAAAAAACCAAGCATTATGACATATACGATAATAAAAAGATGTTTTGCTAGTTATGCCAATATCGTGATTTTTTTAAACTGAGAAAACTATGGTCTAAAATGGAACTAAAACTTTGGGTGGTAAGGACTGAATGATTTTTTTTCAATAACTCCAATTTTCAAAGTAGATATCCTTAAGGTAAGTCACTCGTAAGTTTTTTAAAAAAGTTCGCGCAGAAGTTTTTACTTCAAAACTACTTTTTAAAATTCAATTTTTATAACTTTTTTAAATTCAACAATGTAAATTTTGTAACATTCAATAAAAAAACTGCTAAAAATCTCAAGGAAATTTTTTTATGGGGGACTTTTTTTTGGTGGAAGGATATTTAGCAGAAAATTCTGAAAATTTGGGGGTTTTTTTATAAAATTTAATGTAATGGAAATTTAGACTCACATATTTTTTCTGGGAAATTTTTTTCCGTTTAAATTTTGCTAAAAATTTAATATAGGTCTTAATTTATTTTTTTAGACTAAGTTTTACCCCTTTCCCCTTTAAACCCAAATTTTTTAAAAAATGAAAATATATTAAAGAAGTCAAGGTAAAATTTTACCCTTTTTTCCCTGAAAATCACATTTTTTACGAATATTTAAAAATTTAATATCACGGGACCCCCCTTTTTTTTAATTTTTTAAACTGTTCGATACTTGTAACTTTTTAGCACTCAAGTCGTAAAAAGTTTGATATAAGAAAATTTTTTTTTCCTTTTAAGTTTTTTAATCCCCCAAATGTGTTATTTTTTAGTGCAAAAAGGTGGCACAATAATTTATGCGCATTAATTTGAAAGGATTTGTTTAATGATAAATATTATTAAACTTTTTGTCAAAAAATTAGATTAAATTTATTGCCATGCTTACATCTAATCAAATAAAAATAAGGGTTAAAGTAATTAACCAAAGAGATGAAATTTAAGTGCAAAAAGGTCAACTTAAATGTCCCGTAGATCAGTAGGATGCACATTTGACCCCCTATTTTCTTTGCGATTTTTTTACACTTTATGATTTTATCCAAAATATATTTCAAAAAATCTTGATATAGCAAAATTAGGAGTGACTTACCTTTAAATTTAAAATTTAAAAAAAAAAGAAACCTTTCACATACATGCACATGTATAAGGCTAATTTGGTTTTCCTTTGGGCCCGCCCAGAGTTGTTGGTAAAGGGCTTAAAAACAAAGAGTTTTAAAAATATGCATTCAAACAGTTTTACAAAACTAGATTTTTAAAGATTTATTATGTTCCCCCAAAAAAAGTTGGGGAACATATTGTTTTTTCTCCTTTTATTATTAAGGTCTTCCGAATTCCTTGGAAGACCTTATTGTTTTCCGTCGGTTTCCTATTAAAGGGCTTCCTTTTTTCCCAAAGGAAGACCTTTTGTTTTTAGGGTTTTTTTCCCCCAGGTTTTTTTTTTTTTCTTACAGATTTTGTGGCCCCGAGTTCTCGGAAACGGGTTCTTTGATTTTTATGAAACTTTCAGGGCTGATGGAAAATAAAAAAATCTAACATATATTTTCTTATTTTGATGACGTCACTTCCGGTTTGGAGATTTTTTGCATTTTAGTGAATTTTTAGAGGGTTAGTTTGTCCCGAGTTTTTTCGAAAACGGCTTGGGGTAGAAACTTGAGATTTTAGTGATAATAGAGCAATAATTGATTTGGGGAAAGTATTTTATATTCACTGAAATTCCCGTGTTCGGAAACTTTTTGGCCAAAAAAAAAGTTTATCACGAATTTGAAAAAATTTTGACACTTTTTTAACAACAACTATTTACCTAGAAATATTTTGTTAAAGCGTAAACAAAAGAATGTAAATTTTTAAGATTTGAGATGATTTATAAAAAAAGGGCTGACCCCTAAATTTAAGGGCCTGGGGGGGCCTAAATTTTTTCCTTCATATCTCAAAAAGTATTAAATTTTTTAATGTCAAAAGCAAAGTTTTCAAAATGTTAATTTAATTTATTGGAGTCTAAAAATAGTCCAGTGTCGTCACTTCCGGCCAAACCGGAAGTAGTGAAAAACGCGTATTTTTTTTGACAAGTTTTGGGGTAACATATGACTGGGGGAGCTTAATAATTAATTTTACGTGCGTCTTCGTTACTTCCGGTAAACCGGAAGTAAAAAAAATAGCTTATTTTTCATTATTTAATTGCTTTGAGGATTAAACTTTTTTGTGTGTTAATTCTCATTTTTGTTAAAAATAAAAGCTACTTCCGGTCAAACAAGGGAAAACCTCTCGTTGCTTTGCAACGGTTTTGTCTAGTTAAGGTTTCCGTTCCAACGGAAGACCTTCTTGTTTTGTTGGGTTTTTTTTCCCTATTATTATTATTATTAAGGTTTCCCGTCTTACGGAAACCTTATAGTGATGTACTGTTTCTTTTAAGGTCTTCCGTCTTCAGCGGAAGCCTTTTTTTATTTTGGTTTTTTTTTATTTTTATTTTTTTTTCTTTTTTTTTTTGTTTTTGTCACGCGATTTCTCGAAAACGGCTCGATGGATTTCCATGAAATTTTCAGGACTTTTGCTTATTGAACCTCATGCTTTTTTTTGATTTGATGATCATTTCCGGTTTGGAGATATTGTGATTTAATGTTTTTTGAAGGGTTGTTTTTTCCCCTTTTCAATAATGCTTGTAAAACATGAAACTTTAGGTATGATAGACCAAAGTCTAAGAATGATAACTTTTTCATTGTTATCGGAAGTGACGTACGTCGGCGCTCGCATGGCCCAAAAATAGTCGTATCGCGAATTTCAAATTTTTGAACACCTTTTCTACAATCTTTTTACCTGGAAACATTTTTTTAAAAACTTACAACAAGAGAAGTGTAGAATTCCAAGATCTTTCAAATGATATATTGAAAAAGGGGCTGGCCCCTAAAATGGGGGGCCTAAAAGGGCAAAATTTTTTCCTTATATCTAAAAAGTATTGAGAATTTGTAATAGTAAAAACAAAGTTGTTTAAAATGTAAGTTTTATTTAGTGTCAAAATACGCCCGGCTCGTCACTTCCGGCAAACCGGAAGTATCGGAAAACGCGTATTTTTGCCTTTTGACAAGTTTTTGGATAACATATGTCTTGGGAGCATAAAAATTAATTTTTCGTCCGTCAGCGTCTTTTTGGGTAAACCGGAAGTAGCCAAAAATAGCTAATTTTGAAGGTTTTTGATGCAAAATTAAAATATATAGTCACTGGAGACGACATTCACATTGCTTTCTTTTTTGATGTCACTTCCGGCCTTCCGGTAAAAACCCGGGACGGGAAGCCACTGGTTTGCAACGAGCTTTGTTCTTTTTCTTTTTTTTTGACAAAAATTTTGTGCACGCGATTTCTAAAAACTACTGGGGTTCTATAAAATTTAAAAAATATGTGTCATTATATGAATTTTTACATCCGAAAAAAAATTTTGGGAAAAATTTCGTTTGATGCCAAGTTATGGACAATTTCCTGATTTTCAAATGCGATTTTGTCGCGCACTTATATCGAAAATGGCTAAGGATTAAATGGAACTTTTGGAGATGATAGATATGATTTTTTTTTGCAGTTCCTTTTGTCTCTCATACTTCCGGCGTTACAGATGCAAATTTAAAAAAATCGTTTTTCCAATTTTTTTGTTTTTCGTTTTTTCATTTTTTTTGGTATCTTAATAAAATCCTCCTTTTTATGCTTAAAATTTTAAATTTTGTTTGAATATTGATAAATCAAAAATTAGATATTGCATTCAAAAATCGAAGCGGGTCCAAAATGGCCTTTTGTGCCGACTTTTCGCAATAGTGGTTTATAGTCCCCTGCTTTTCTTGAACAAAAGTAACATAAAAATGGAATGTAAAGGAATACTTGGATTGTTCGTGTTTTATTGCAGTTCTGTGTCAAACTAACGTCTTCTATAATTGGTTTTGGCGGGTTTTTAAAAATTAAAAAAAGAAAAGCAAATGTACAAATGAAATTCGATACCTAATATCTTTTGTGCATTACAGAAAAACAGATTTAAATCATACTTATAAGTAATACTTTCTCAAAAAAGAAAATCAATTAATATTGTCGTTATTCTCAACCACTCGGTTTTTCCTATGCACACTTTTTCATTTAAACTAATTTTTACAAAAAAGAAAACTTTTTTTAAAATATCCCTCATGGAGTTCATTTGAGCATTTTCTTCAAAGACCTGATTCAAGTTTTTGCTAAATGATATCTGTTCCTTGCCGTCGTAGGGCGAGCCATGTTTTTCGGCGAAACGTTTCAACCTTTTTCGATTAACTAATGGGATAATTCATTTTGGGGAAAAAGGGAAATTGAAAAAAATTATTTTAGTGTTACATGCATATATACAATTAATTTTGTAAAATGTGTTAAATATACTCTCTAAACCTCGAATCTTAGGCTAAAAGAACTTTTTTTTAATTTATTGAAGCTATCACCTTTTAATAGAACTTTCCAAAAGAAAGGGGCAAAGATTAACTCGTGGCTTTGGCGCTAAATTTTGAATGTGACCCGTTTTTCATAATGTTGAGAAAGCACTACAAGTAGATTTAAGTGAGGTCCCGATAGCGTTATTTTAGTGCTTGGAATTTCATCTGGCGACTTTTTTCCCCC